CTGAACAAGAAGACGATATCTATATAAATATTATCATGCCTGAACAAGAAGACGATATCTATATAAATATTATCAAGCCTGAACAAGAAGACGATATCTATATAAATATTATCATGCCTGGACAAGAAGACGATATCTATATATAAATACTATCATGTCTGAACAAGAAGACGATTTCTATATAAATATTATCATGCCTGGACAAGAAGACGATATCTATATATAAATATTATCATGTCTGAACAAGAAGACGATTTCTATATAAATATTATCATGCCTGAACAAGAAGACGATATCTATATATAAATATTATCATGTCTGAACAAGAAGACGATATCTATATAAATATTATCATGCCTTAACAAGAATACGATATCTATATAAATATTATCATGCCTGAACAAGAAGACGATATCTATATATAAATTGATTTGTTTTTCTGTTGTTTATTGCATAAAATAAACTTCATAACTGTTAAAGCGAATAGTCACACAGGATCCAAGGAAAGGTTTACTGTTGGTCGAAATAAAAATTTTTGCTTAGAACTAAATATTGAAGAGCCACCGATCCAAACAGAAAAATCTGCAATTGAAGAAAAAATAGCGGCTTCAAAAATCACATGTTAGAAGCTAAAACTGTTAATAAAACAGGGGCACAAAGGCCGAAACGTTCTTAAATTAAAGATTTTTTATTCAAATGATCTATAATGTCAATTTTTGAAATTAAAAAATTTCTCAAAAATTAAGCAAAAAGAATAAAATTGATAAGCAGAGCGGTGGTAAAATTCATTCACTCAACTTAGATCAAAATTTTTCCAGTTAAATTTTTAAGTTGCAAGATGTCAGAAATTTTTAATGGATCATTACTAATTTCAAATGGTGATTATACCATACAAGGATAACTTTAGCTGAGGGATCAAGATCCTCAAATTTAAAAGTGCCACATTGGAAATAGAAATCAACAATTTCAAATTAACTATAAACTGGTATACTATGATTACCTATGAATGCTGATATAAAGCACCCTGGGATCGTTGTAGAATATTTTCTGAACCCCGTTTCCATGATGGATTGCCCAGTCAATAATCAGAATTCTCCTGGTACTAGTGTGCTCCAGCAGCTGTTTAGCAGCAATGGCGATGGTATTAAAGTAACAGAATCCCATTGCTTCTTCAGCTTCAGCATGATGCCCTTGTAGAAGAAGAATATTATATGAGCTACCCTATCAACCAAATCACGTAAGTTCGTAAATGGTAAAATAGTTTATATCAAAGGATCAAGAAGAAAAACTAAACCCAATTAACTAAATTATGTATTTTCATCAATGGTCACGCACCTCTACCCCCTTTAGTAAAAGTTAAATCAACCTATATGAAGCATAAAGTCTGACCGGGTCAACCTTGTTGCACCGGCTAGTCCTGTCCATAGAGCTAGGAACAGTACAAACTTGGACCGGAAAGGTTGACCCGGCTCGGAAATTCATATGTACTACGGCTGCCCCGTATGGTTTGTATAAGAAAAAATGAATAGTTTACGTCTGATAATTATAAAGAAAAACAAACAATTTTAACCGAATCATGCAGTTTGACAAAAAAAAAATATTATCCCTGTATGAACATAGTTACGTAATTTCACCCATGTTATGATTAAAGACCCTATTATTAAACGGAATTAAGTAGTTGCACTATAACGGCATGTAAATAGAAATTAGATTTAAAAAGGCTATTTAAAAATGTAAAATAAAAGCCCTATTAAGCATATTATGTATGTATTTTCACAAAAAAATAGTTCATAACAGACATTCAATTATAAAAACAAAACCATTTCAACCATATTAAGCTCAATATCTACCTGGAGGTCTGACCACAGCAAACCATTTCAACCATATTAAGCTCAATATCTACCCGGAGGTCTGACCACAGCAAACCATTTCAACCATATTAAGCTCAATATCTACCTGGAGGTCTGACCACAGCAAAACCGTTTTTGATCTCTCCTCTGGCAATCTTTAATGCCAATTCCACTGTTGAACCAACAGCAAACCTAAAACAATCAAGAGTATTATTAATTTGTATTTGTTTCTGTGCACTACAATATTTACATTTCTCTGTTCAAGGCTGGGGTTGTTCAAATATTGTTTCTTAAACTGCATTATGCTTTGTGTTGAAAAAATTATAAGAATTAGTGTTTATAATATTTGCCCAAGAAAGAAATGGTAAATTGGATCTTTTTACGACATTCAAATTGTATATTTTTAAATATTTTATTAACTTTACAAATTATGTTAAGAATATTTGTTTTGAAAAAGTTATTTGCATCAATGTAGATATACAATTATATCTAAAACTCTTCTGTAATGGCCCTGTAGCTAGAACATAAGTAATAAGTATTTAAGAACACATGATGTCATTAAAATATGATAATTTTCGATTTTCTTGAGCTGTTGGTATAGAGCTAGTTCTACCTGGCAGCTGTTGCAGTATAGAGCTGGTTCTACCTGGCAGCTGTTGCAGTATAGAGCTGGTTCTACCTGGCAGCTGTTGCAGTATATACAGCTGGTTCTACCTGGCAGCTGTTGTAGTATAGAGCTGGTTCTACCTGGCAGCTGTTGCAGTATAGAGTTGATTCTACCTGGCAGCTGTTGCAGTATAAAGCTGGTTCTACCTGGCAGCTGTTGCAGTATAGAGCTGGTTCTACCTGTCAGCTGTTGCACTATAGAGTTGGTTCTACCTGGCAGCTGTTGCAGTATAGAGGTGTTCTACCTGGCAGCTGTTGCAGTGTAGAGCTGGTTCCAATATGTGTCTGAATCTACCCCAAGACCTCCACAAGGAAGAACTGTAAACTTACTGAGGGCCCCAGTGTCATCTCCTTCCTAAAAACAAACATTTTTATGTGTGATTTCTAAAAATCATTATTTTTATTTTTAATCATAAAACAGCTTCCAAACAAAATATCAGTAAATATTTCTGTGAATAAAATAAGTATTTCAGTTAATATACCTGATTTAGTCCTACATTGGTCCCAGTCCCAAATAGTAGAGTATGGGCCTCGGTGTGACAAGACTGAATTTGTTCCAGGGTTCCCATCTCAGAAACCTGAACAATCTCTTTGTATCGAATAGAAACAAATCCTAAGTCGGCAAAATTATGAATGAACTATTATTCTCTCCCACAAGAATTTACTAATTTTTAGGAAGTAATTGTATTGATTCCAATTCTGGAAAGCTATTATAACCCGACCGTAAACTAAATCAAAAAAAATGTATTTTTAGAAATTGTAGTATCCTCAGTTATAAGTTTTAATTCAGAACAAAAGTAATTTTCAGAGTAGCATTCATAAAAAAAGTTGGGATTAAAATATAACCCCACCTTGAAGATTTGTATCTTATTTTCCCCTTATAGGATTTAAACTATTTTTAGAAAACCAATCTTTTTCTAAATTATAAAGGTAAGAAGTAAAAACATGTCTTCAACTTAAGAATATTTTCTTGAAAGAATTCGTATTATCCTGAAATTACAAAGACAGTCTCTTTAAGGAAGAACAATTTTCCATTTAAACCTTTTGAAAAATCAGCATTCGGACCAAACGTGTCGACCTCTCAGGGCAAAACTTATGTTTGGGGAAAGCGTTATACTTCAGAGGCTTAGAAGCTTGAATATAGAGTGAAACCTTTAAATTTTCATTAAATTTATTTCCGCGGATTTCAGAGAAACCCACCAAAAATAAAATTAAGAAATGATTTGAGAACTAGAATAATTCAAATATTTTGCCCTTTGGTTTATTTACTGTGCACAGTTTTAACACCACAGTGCGTGATTCAAACGGCAGAAAGAAAACAAGAGTTAAAAATCGGTTTTTTCGGAACTTTAGATATTTTTTATTTTTCTAAAAGTTGTAAAACCTGTTCACAGTTTGCCAGTATACCCGTGTCTACCAGTCTTGTGAGAATATACTGCAATCTGTAACAAAATAAAATTCATTAGCAAAAAAAGATGGAAATGATTTTTTCTATAATATAAACTCTCGTCAAAAAATTTAAATGTTTTTTATTCTAAAATTGTTCTCGAAGAGCCTTTTTAGTCATATGTATATATCAGTTATAGCAAAAACAAACAAAAAAACAAAAAAAATGAATGAAGACGAAAATAAGTATAACTTTCATTATTATTTATAGTTTAATTCAATCTCATTTTTAAATTGACAGTAATTTTATCCTCTTAAGAATAATTACATTCAAAATNTGACCTCACTAAGTACAAGGGGAGATATACCGGATGGTCCCATGAACCCCTTGAAGTACGGTTTCTTGATGTACACTGGTACGACTCTCTCGGGACTGGCCTAGAATCATTTATTTCAGATAAAGAACCTGAAGAATCCCTAGAATTGTCTGTATATCAAATGACCAGTATACTGCACTCTTATTGGTGGGAGTTCTTGTGACGTAATACGGACTTATAGTATCTATTTATGAGTCTACCAGCTGAAGGGGGGCGGGAAATAATAAATTTCGGCCAGGATTTTTTATTTTTTCAACCAAAGCGAAGCCAGAAGTGTTTAACCACCATTAACTAGTTTACTAAACATAGAAGATGTTTAACAAAGACTGAAAGGAAGAAATCTAGAATAAGAATTATTAAATCGAAAAGAACAAAAAAAATACCTGCAATTCCTCCATACTTGATTCACGGGGTGTTCTAAAATAAAATAAAGAATTCTTCAACAGTTTTGTTTCTCGTCCGAGATATGCTTATTGATTAAAAATTATTTTAAAACTTTGAATATAAAGAAAAGACGGCCTTTTGAGACAACTTTATTTGACCAACATGAACGTATTTTGCGTATAAAAGCTGATGTCATTTTTAACATTAACAATGAGAAAGTCAGTGCATCCATTTTTGGCTATAAAACCTGTTATTAAGAAAAAACTTTTATTAATTAAGTTCACTAGTATTATAAAGTATAAGTTTTCCGTTCTAAATATTTTTGGTTTTCTTCATTTAATAAAGTATTCCAATGGTTTGGCAAAGAAAAAAACTACAGGGTGTCCCACGAAACATGACAGTTGGTAAATAGTTTAGAATTTCTTTCTCTATAATTTGTTAAGTTGTTTAATACCAAAGACAATAATAAAAATATTATATAGGAGTAATATTACAGTAAAATTAACTTCAAAATAAAATATATTTCAGCAAAAATTTTTTAAACGAAATAAACTGCAAACAGCCTTTAATATCTAATACAGTGTATAGAAGACGACATTCAAAACTATTTACCAACTGTCATGTTTCGTTGAAAGAATAAGGAGTCGATAAATTTCTAAATGTGGTCTCTAAACTCAAGTCTTATCTTTTTCCACTAAACCCAAACCCTGATGCCTGAATAATCGCTTATATCCAACAAAAAATCGCTTTCATTCACCAAAAAATAGAATTTTTGTCGCTCATTTGGCAGCCATCCAGTAGCAATCTTTTGCAACCAAATTAAGATTTTTTAGTTTCGTTATTTAGAGGTAACATTATATATGACTCACCCATTTGTTAGATCTGCAGGGGTAGACACTCCCCCATCCTCCTCCATCACCTCCTCTAGGGGTCTAAACATAACATTATAAAAGGGACTGTACTCTTCATTTCAGTTGACACTGTATTTATAGAGTCCGATTCTTTACGGTAAAGTTTAACCATAATTGAGTTGTTCCACTAGTTTATTATGTTTGACTACGCTTAATACAGTGGTAAACAGAAAACTAAGGAATGAGATTGGACACTTAAAAGTAGACCCAGTCTTTGAAAAAATTGAAGTAACTTTTCGGATCTGTGTGAGCTGCTGAAAAATAGTTAAAATCGTAATTTACGACGAAGGGCGGGAAATGAGTCGGACAAAGTATGCCCCCCCCCCCCCCTGTGCAAGGCTGGGTTCCCAATCTAGTTATTCGATATAATCTTTATTATAAACCTTTCCATATAAAAATAAGTATATATTGGAAATAACATGTTTTTCAACATGTCTTGAAGGAAAATATTTTTAACATTTTATACTAGACAGTAGACAGTAGACAGTATACAGTAGACAGTAGACAGACAGAAGAAAACTAGAAACCAAGTAAGAAACCAAGAATGTTCAATTGGATGTTGCAGTCTGAGCGTTATGAATTTCTTTTTTAATTACTCACTTGTTGAACGAATTTCTTGATGTTCTTTCCCTTTCTATCTTATTCTATAAAATCAGATAATTCAGATAAAAAAATGATTTTTTTTTATAATTTAAAAACAAAAATGATGCTAAATAAGACTGATACTTAAAAGAGATCAGGATATTTTCTTCAAGATTAGACGCGAGATGAGGGAAAGGGGCGACCAAGGGCAAAAGAGGGGACCGCAGGCAAAAAGGGAGTGGGGAAGCACAGGCAAAGGGTGGGGGGTAATTCACATTCAAAACAATGAGAATAAGAAAAAAATCAAATATAAATTTCGAAATAAAAAAGAATCTGGCCGTCATTAAACTTTTGCTGCTAAAACAGCAATTTCGTGTTGAATAAAAGCAATTTTTTAATTTCTAATTTTAAGTCTAAAGTGTTGATTCGAAAATTGAATCTATGGTGCACTCAACTTAGAATCTCAAAACCAAGCTAAGAACATTTCCGTGGTTCTCCCGAGTTCCCCAATCAACATTTAGGCAAAATTGTCAAGGTTTCGTGAGTTATGATCGGACAGAGATTATAACTTTATTAATATATCGTAGATATCTGAATTAGGTGTTTTCCTGTTGGTAGTAATACTGATTATCGTCCATCGATCGTTTCTCAGCCAACGATTTCTCGATAAGATGTTTTCTGAAAATAGAAATAATAATAGTCGAATTTAGGTCAGAATCAAAATCAAGATCAAGATGATCAAGATCAAGATCAAGATCAAGATCAAGATCAAGATCAATATTGAGGTCAAGGTCAAGCTTGAGAAGAATAATACCTAAGAGGTAAGATGGCGGATGAATGAGATCTTCCAAAATGGCGCTGGTTAGGTCTGAAAACACAAAATAATTTAAAAATACAAAATTTGTAAAAGTCCAAAATTAGCTTTCTACTTAATTTAGATATAGTATACAGTGGAATGAGATAGAACCAATTGGAAGTAGGTAGAAAAGGTTGGGAATTGGAAAGGATATCAACTAAAGAGGAAGTTGGGATTGGGATGGAAATCAGCTGTTGAGAAATTTGGGATTGGAAGATTTGGGATTAGGAATCAATGAAGCTAGGATGAAAGTCCAAAGAGAACATGACTTAGAATGTGTCTTTTAAAGGATTTAGCCTAAAAAAACGTGACTTAGACATATTATTGACCTTGAATGGTGACCTGTGGAATAGGAAGACGACGCTGCTACATGGTTTTGACAGAAATTTTCTCTTTGTCAAAAACCTTCAAGCTTTTTAGAATTATATTTTACATTCATAAATAAAAATACAGAAAATATATACACAAAAAACGATCAAAAAGCTAGCAATGGTTTCTGGATCTTTTTTCCATTTTTTAAAGCATAAAATATTGCAAAATTTTGTAAAAGCAAACCAAACGATTAACAACGATGGTTACTTTTTAGCTCTGCTATGATGAAGTTAAGTATAAAATGATCATGAATGATAAAGTTCACATAATATTTAAAAAAAACGAAATATTGAAAGCATACCTCTGTGGGAGTCCCCGGATAGTGAAATATTGAAAGCATACCTCTGTGGGAGTCCCCGGATCATGAAATATTGAAAGCATACCTCTGTGGGAGTCCCCGGATCATGAAATATTTAAAGCATACCTCTATGGGAGTCCCCGGATCATGAAATATTGAAAGCATACCTCTGTGGGAGTCCCCGGATCATGAAATATTGAAAGCATACCTCTGTGGGAGTCCCCGGATCATGAAATATTGAAAGCATACCTCTGTGGGAGTCCCCGGATCATGAAATATTGAAAGCATACCTCTGTGGGAGTCCCCGGATCGGTGGTGAGCGGCGGGAACGTTCCAAGCTGGAGGGAATGTTGGGCAAGGATCTGAAATCAGTTATTTTTTCAATTTGCTTTCATTTTTTAAAAAAATTTTTTTTTAAAATTATTTTCGCTATTTTCATGTATTATATGTATTCTGACAAATCTCTGTTTAAGAAATGAACAGATATCGAAGAACTCAAATATCGCTGGATTTGAGCCTTGAGTATAAATTTCTACTGTAACTCTATGTATTTATCCCTTTACAACTTGCTTTTCATTTACCCCCACCCCCTGAGGAGATGAGGGGGAGGAGGAGTCCGGAGAAGAAGATTGAACAGGCTTGCACTAAAATACATTCTTCGTCGTAATTTCATTATAAAAGTCGTCTTTGCTGTATTGACATAAACGCCGACCCCCCGTCCAAAATTATGTATTTATAAAAATCCATCACACTATTCGATAATATTACATTTTAAAGCATCAGAATATATTTGTAAATATTTATATATTTAAGAAAAGATATCTTCATGACATTATTTGAGTTTTTATTGCATAAACATTATATTTCATGCACTGCAATCTTTAGGGTATATATATATACATATACCCTAAAGATATAAATAAAAATATATACATATGCATGTTTGTACATTGTACATGTATGTATGGATGTTATCAATGTATATAGTGACTATATCACTTCCCCCCCCCCCTTCAAAAAAATATTAAGGAATGTTAATCCATTTTTGAAATAAGAAGAGTAAGGGGGGGGTAAACTGCTATTTTCATCATCATTTTGTTTATTAGAATCTCTAGTTCTTATTACTTGATTTATTCACCATTCAAATATTTCTAAGAAAACAATTATTATTAACAAGCTCTCAAATAAAGTGCGTATTTCAAGTGTTTAACCATTCATTCATTTTTTATGATTCGGACATATTTTGTGAGTTGTACATTTGTTGTGAGTCATGCATTTTTTAGGAGCCGTACATCTATTTTGAGATGTACATATATTGTGAGTCGTACCGACGTACATACATTGTGAGTCGTACATACATCGTGAGTTGTACACACATTGTTTTTCATACATACATATATCGTGAGTCGTACATACATCATGAGTTGTACATACATTTGATTCATACATACATTTATTGTGAGTCGTACATACATTGTGTGTCGTACATATATTGTTAGTCGCTATACATACATTTATTTTGAGTCGCACATATATTGTGAGTCGTACATACATTGTGAGTCGTACATACATAGTGAGTCACACGTATATGAAGAGTCATATATATATTGTGAGTTATACATACATTGTGAGTCATACATATATTGCGAGTCATACATTGATTGTGAGAGTAGTAAATATATTGTGAGTTGTACATAGATTGTGATTTGTGAGCTGTTCATATATTGTGAGGATTGTAAGTCTTAGATTCAATAAGAACCAGAAAACTATGGATTAGGAAGATTAGATTAAAGTAATAATTAATTTTATTTGATGTGTTATAAAAAAACTAGGTTTGGCAGTAGATTAAATATTAACTTATTTAGTGAAATGAGTCTGTTGTAGTTTCTCATGTTCATAGGACTATTTAATGTCATGAAATGTGTCTGTTGTAGTGTCTCATGTTCATCGGACTATTTAATGTCATGAAATGAGTCTGTTGTAGTGTATCATGTTCATAGGAATATTTAGTGTCATGAAATGGGTCTGTTGTAGTGTCTCATGTTCATCGGACTATTTAATGTCATAAAATGTGTTTGTTGTAGTTTCTCATGTTCATCGGACTATTTAATGTCATGAAATGAGTCTGTTGTAATTTCTCATGTTCATCGGACTATTTAATGTCATAAAATGTGTTTGTTGTAGTGTCTCATGTTCATCGGACTATTTAATGTCATGAAATGAGTCTGTTGTAGTTTCTCATGTTCATCGGACTATTTAATGTCATGAAATGAATCTGTTGTAGTTTCTCATTTAATCGGACTATTTAATGTCATGATATGTGTTTGTTGTAGTTTCTCATGTTCATCGGACTATTTAATGTCATGAAATGTGTTGTAGTTTCTCATGTTCATCGGACTATTTAATGTCATGAAATGAATCTGTTGTAGTTTCTCATTTAATCGGACTATTTAATGTCATGATATGTGTTTGTTGTAGTTTCTCATGTTCATCGGACTATTTAATGTCATGAAATGAGTCTATTGTAGTGTCTCATGTTCATCGGACTATTTAATGTCATGAAATGAGTCTGTTGTAGTTTCTCATGTTCATCGGACTATTTAATGTCATGAAATGTGTCTGTTGTAGTTTCTCATGTTCATCGGACTATTTAATGTCATGAAATGAGTCTGTTGTAGTTTCTCATGTTCATCGGACTCTTTAATGTCATGAAATGTGTCTGTTGTAGTTTCTCATGTTCATCGGACTATTTAATGTCATGAAATGAGTCTATTGTAGTGTCTCATGTTCATCGGACTTTTTAATGTCATGAAATGAGTCTTGAAGTTATCTCACTGTACTAACTGTACATTGTTCGTTGTACAGTAATATCCTGATACTAAATCTACTAAGCTATAGTATTCTTTATCATGCAATTCTACATCAAGTTGGAGTATTTTTCTTTTTAAAAACAGTATGCACGAAAATCTGACGTGAAAATAATTTAAAACTATTTTTGGATTCTTAATTTCCATTTCCTGACAAGAAATGCATATTGCAAGGTTTGCCCTTTCTTAATTACAACTTCAAAGAAATTGCAGAATAGAATTTGTTTTTTTTAACTTAAGATTATATAAACTTTGACTTTGTTTGTATTTAAATATTTTAATCGTAAAAAAATCTTAAAAATGGGTATTTTTGTTTTTGTTAAATTAAAGTAAATGGTTGATAATTAATTAGTTTTGTTCATTAAGTTTTTTTGTACTTGCAAAACTTGTAATTGAGATGAGCCTGTAGAACTGTGGAATAGGAAGACGACAGTATAAGTGTACAGTGAACAGTGTACAATATACATTGTAAATTGTACAGTGAAAAGTGTGCAATGAACAGTGTACAGACTAGAACTAGATATAGCAGAAAGTGTACTATATATACCTGGAGAAGTTTATTAGGTTTGGTTTAACTAGAACTAGATATACTAGAAAGTGTAATATATATACCTGGAAAAGTATATTAGGGTTGGTTTGACGAGAACTAGATATAGGAAAAAGTGTACTTAATATAACTGGAGAAGTAGAATAGGGTTGGTTTGACGAGAACTAGATATAGGAAAAAGTGTACTTTATATAACTGGAGAAGTAGAATAGGGTTGGTTAGACTAGAAATAGATATAGGAAAAAGTGTACTTTATATAACTGGAGAAGTAGAATAGGGTTGGTTAGACTAGAAATAGATATAGGAAAAAGTGTACTATATATACCTGGAGAAGTAGGTTAGGGTTGGTACGACTAGAACTAGATATAGGAGAAAGTGTACTATATATACCTGGAGAAGTAGGTTAGGGTTAGTTAGACTAGAACAAGATATAGGAGAAGGTGTACTATCCTCACTTCCTCCAGCACATTCTGGTACTAAACAGCAAACAGTTAATTTTATACTATTGCACAAAGATGACTTCAGAAGTTCAGCACGATTTACAGAAATCTGCACTATTTATGTTAGAATGAATGGTTTCCTCCAGTTGTAAATTTTTTGGGCTTCTCGGAAAAACCTTTGATATTCTAAACAGTTTTCAAACAGAATTCCATTGCGTATAATTCAGCACAACTGAATTTAAATTGCGCTGAATTTTCGGCGTTGTGCATAATTACAAGGATCACAAATTCAAACAAGTAAAATACACTTATGTCGGAAACCCTAATATTATACCTTTATTGAAGGTAGAACCCCAAATTTAATTCGAAGATTTTTGAATTGAAAGAGTTGCAGGTTGTCGCTAAACTCTCCCTTTGTGGGTAAATAACCCTAAAGGGTGTTTGCGTATTTTTACGTAAAAACCCTAGAATCACATAACAATTACGTTAAACTTACGTAAATTGGTTGGTCAGGTAAAGGTTTGCATTACCTAGTCTCAGCTGGTGATTGAATGTCCTGGAGTAAGGACCTGAGGACCTATCTCCTCTCTTGTTCTTGATCTTCAAAAGGTTGGATTCAGACTGAACCTTTCTCAGGATAGCAGTTTGTAGTGGAGTACTCCCTCCAGATACAGGGGGTATACCTAGACAAATAGTGGAGTATTCCTCCCAGATACAGGGGGTATACCTAGACAAATAGTGGAGTATTCCTCCCAGATACAGTGGTAATACCTTGATAAATAGTGGAGTATTCCTCCCGGATACAGGGGTAATACCTTGATAAATAGTGGAGTATTCCTCCCAGATACAGGGGTAATACCTTGACAAATAGTGGAGTATTCCTCCCAGATACAGGGGTAATACCTTGACAAATAGTACTCAATCGATCCATTGAAAGAAGTTTTTCTAAATATTCCCTCTCAGTTTACGGAATTTAACCTTTTTTATTCATTTTATCTTTTCTGTACAATTTAAACTCTCTTTAAATAATTAAAATTATAAAATGTTTGTTTCTCAAAATATTTGCTTTAAAGTTTTATCTAAATCATCTCGTCGAATTCCAGAAAAAGTGGCGCTTGATTTTAACAGTTAGAGCCGCAACCTAAATTGCTTCGTAAGCACCCAGGACAAGGGACGAATCGAATTTTTTAAGTCCTTAACCCTATCTCTGCTGGGGTACTTGTTGATTTTTAATCAAGAAAAACTAAAAATGTGCAAATTTCCTTTGACAGGTTGTTTGCAAAAAATTTGCGATTTTTTTTTCGCAAAACTTGTGCAATTTGTTTCCTTTTGTCAAAGGCTTTCCAAAAAGCTAAATTTTATCAAAATCTGACAAGTGAAAGTGGGTCAAAACAAAGATTTAGTTTGTTACAGGAAAATCGATACTAATATCGAGCTTTCAATTTTCATGAATTTCCGGAAAATTTAGCTACTGAACCAGACATAAAAAATTATTAATCTTAGTTAATTGACAACTTCAAAGCTTGAACATATGAACATATGAACACTTCAACACTTCAACACTTTAATACTTCAAGACCTCAAGACCTCAACACTTAAACACTAAAACACTTTAACACTTTCACACTTTAACACTTTAACACTTTAGCACTTTAACACTTTAACACTTTAAAACTTTAACACTTTAACACTTTAACACTTTAACACTTTAACACTTAAACACCTGAACACTTCAACATTTCAACACTGGAAAACTTCAAAACTGGAAAACTTCAACAACATGAATGAATACAAAAAACAGTTAAAAATCTAATTTTTTATTATTTCAGTCAAAAAATGTCTGCTATTACAAATATCAAAGGATGCAATTATGCATTTGAATCTTTCATATCACTCTTTAATGTACGTTTGGTTTGTTGTGGTTGGGTGTCTTGGTATGTATTATCCTTTAGTTTCCTAAACTTGACTAAGGCTAAAATTTCCTCTTTTTGAATTCCTTTGAGGAGAAAAAAATGGTGGCATTAATCTATGTTTCGTTACAACCCGAATACAGGAACAGTACATGAATATTTAAAAATATGTCTGCACTGCATAAACTGGTTTTAGGGCTCGGCCCGGATTAGACGGGATGATAAAATAAATTAATTTGAAAAGTGTACTCTGGTAAACTGGTTTAGGGCTGGGCCCGGATTAGACGGGATGATAAAATAAATTAGTTTGAAAAGTGTACTCTGCATAAACTGGTTTAGGGCTCGGCCCGGATTAGACGGGATGATAAAATAAATTAGTTTGAAAAGTGTACTCTTGTAAACACTTAATGCTTAAATACTGAATGATCCTTGTAAATTGTAAGATTTTGTTTAATATTTATATTGTAGACATAAATTGTACAAAAAATCAAATTTTAAGTTTCAGAAACTCAAGAGAAGGGAAAAAGTACAAAGAAAGAAAAACAAATTGTGTTTTATTAGGACATTTAAGTACATAGTACACGTTATGTTTTATTAGGACATTTAAGTACATAGTAAACGTTATGTTTTATTAGAACATTTAAGTACATAGTACACGTTATGTTTTATTAGAACATTTAAGTACATAGTACACGTTATGTTTTATTAGAACATTTAAGTACATAGTGCACGTTATTTTTATTAGGACATTTAAGTACATTGTACAAGTTATGTTTTATTCGGACATTAAGTACATGGTACAAGTTAGGTTTTATTAGGACATTTAAGTACATAGTGCACGTTATTTTTTATGAGGACATTTAGGTACATATTACACGTTATGTTTTAATAGGACATTAAAGTACAGAGTACAAGTTATGTTTTATTAGGACATTTAAGTACATAGTGCAAGTTATGTTTTATTAGGACATTTAAGTACATGGTACAAGTTATGTTTTATTAGGACATTTAAGTGCATAGTACAAGTTATGTTTTATTAGGACATTTAAGTACATTGTACAAGTTATGTTTTATTAGGACATTTAAGTACAAAGTGCAAGTTATGTTTTATTATCTCTGACCAAAAGTATTAAATAACAAATGCCAAAAATCTTAATTAATTAGGTAAAAATGGACACAAAAGTTCAGGCTCATTGAAATTTAACTCTTGTATTGTAGATATTAAGAAATCAATGCTTGATGCCGATCTGTTGCTGATCTGCAGATTAATCTAATCTTTATTCGATATCCCGCATGGTAATCGTACCCTGGATTGAAGAGATTTATTCTCACATTTAAAGTGCAAACAGTGGATATCGAGATCAAGTGATTAATATTATCAGAATCTAACACAAAATTTCTCTGTTCTTGACCCCTTATTTACCGTGAGCGGCCAGCCATGTAATTATATAATATATAACATATGAGACAATTATGCAGCTTTCAAACAATTGTATTTTCAAGCCGCGCCCCCGATTGCTGACTATACCCGTCTACATATAAATATTTTCTATTGTTAAGCATCCTAACATATAATTAGATACTCTTTATCCCGATTGTTCGATCTCGATATCAACTGCGGGCAATTTTAATTTGAGAATCAATGCTTAATCTTTTCTTTTTAGTTATTCCTTGAGAGCTGGGAATTTTAGAATGGGATACCTTTAATCCTGACTCCTTAATCCGAATATCCAATGTGGACACTTTTAATTTCTTGCTTAATCCACTCTTTTTTGGATATAGTACAGAGAATCAAAAACCGGTTTTTAAAATAAGAGAGTCCCTTCCGTTTTTTGAATATTAATCCTAGATGGCGCGCAAATTCAAATTTCCCGGCTTCGGATACGTAGCTCTGATTGGTTGAATTTTATACATTTTTCAGGATACAAGTACAAGATTAAGTTAGTCTCGAGATTAAGAAAAAGAGAGGATTGCATTGATCTCGATATTTCCAGCTCTGGCTATAGATTATACCATGCGGGCTATTGAATAAAGATTAGATTAATCTGCAGATTAATAAAAGATCAAGATCAAGCAATTAATCCCGATTTGCATACTACAAAAGTTTCCATTTCATTTTAATAAAAAAAAAATTTTACCTATTTTTAGATTTCCCATCGATGCTGCGGCATCTTTCCGTTTCCGCTGGAGGATAACTTCCTGAAGTCGTCTTTTCACCTAAACAAAGGGATTTAGAATTTATTGTTATTGAAATTATTGCAACAAACTTTGATTTTCTAATCCCTTTATCTTTGCAACTCACTGACCTTAGATATTTCAAACTATGAATTCTGTTAGATCAGATATAGGAATTAGAAAAATTGAGTTTGTGGCGATATTTTCCACAGCAAGTTCTATTGTGTACAAGTACTGTACACGACCAATCAGGAGACATCTGTATTCAGGGATATTTAAGGATCCTTTGAATAGGAAATGCAAAATCTTTAAAAATAGACAATATTCATTAAAGTTTGGTTTGTGTTTAAAATTGGAGTATTTCTTTAAAAGTTAAACTTAACCCCAGAATGCAACAAGTAGCCCTGAGATGTCAGTCAAAAAACATTACATGGAACTGTAGCATGGCGTGCCGGGACACTATAAGGCCTGCTCAGCCTATCCAGGTAGAGTGTATGAGCAGTCTGTGTAGTCTGTGATTCACTCTTTTGTGAATAACCTTACGTTCTGTGTGTAACGTCAGCAGAAATTTTATCCTAATTTTGAAAAGGATAATTGTTAAAATATTTTAAAGTTAAATGTTGATGACATCACATCGAAGAAATTGATATTGTAAGTTTCTGCACTTTTAAAAGTTCTTTCTTTTAGTTCATAATTACTTTATTATGGGTCATAGTTCCTGACTAATTTGTGGAAACACTGTCAGTGTCATGGCATGAATCAAAGTAAATGAAAAAAAATGATAAGTGCCTGGTGCAATTCTTAAAATATTTAAAACAACGTAGTAATTTTTAGAATTTTGAAAATATTTATTGAAAACAAATATTTATTTTTGGCACAAAATCAAGCTTTTTACCAGAAAATTTTAACAATTGAAAATAAAAGTGAATGAAACAAACGTTTATGATTAGTAAGAAGGGGCTTAAGTTGAAAATAAGTGGTTCAACTTAGTCTTTACTTAACTATTCTTCTCAATTCATTAAATTTGATCTCAACTTCATATTTTCAATTGCGGTCAATTTGATTTGAAAATGAAAATATACAGTTTAAATAAACAAAAACAACGACACACTTGTAATGTAACCTCAATCTGATCAAAAATGTATTCATTGTTTCCAAAGCAAAAGACGTTTTTTATTCCATGTGAATTGTAAATTTTGAATGAATCTCAAACGCGCCTTTTGGAGTTCTTTTCCACAGAGCATTTTAATATTTATTTATCTATATAAAAAAGCTTTGACTTTACCTCTGGACTGGCGACTGCAGATTGACAAGTTTCATCTTTGAGCTTCAAACTTTCAATTCTATTCTTCTCTTTGTGCACCTCCTAAACGGTAGAAGACTATGTATAATATTACTGTTATTTTGGTTCAGAATATTTCCTCTTTATCAATATTGAGACAGTTTAGATTATATTTATATTTAGAGCAATACAGACACAATTTATTTCCAAACTCTTTTTAACACACAGATCTGTGACATGTAAATTACTCATTAAAATCAACAGTACGCCATTCTTTTCTCCTTTTCTTTTTCCTCCTATCGTCATTTTCTTTGCTTTAATTTTTTTGTAACTTTTTGTGTGTAGGGCTTATCATTTAAAACAGTCATTATCGGCTAGATAAGTCCTGACTTGTATGTAATAGCTTTTTTTTATTTTTTGTGTAGGGCCTATCATTTAGAACAGCTTTTAAAAAATATTTACCATTAGTCGAAATAAAAATATATCATTGATAACGCGTCGCACAGTGGGGTCAGTCAAAGTGAATTTTTTCCATAAACATCTTATTTATGTCAAATAAGGCTTGGCCGCTTCAGATTTTTTTTGAGAAAAGTCTGTTCAGTTAAGAATTTCGAAAGAAAACCCGCTTTTTCATTAAAAACTCTTAAAATAGGATTTTACAACACACTACTCTGGCGTAATCAAGGTCTTGGCGTACTACTGGCACCCCTAAATGGCTGTTATATATTTAAATTATTCTAAAACCTCTGTGCTTTCTAGTGCTTTTGTTATAAAATATATGTTTTTCTTCCGAAATAGCTCTCTGTTATGAAGACGACATCTAAATATATTGCAGGTTTACAGGATCCATTCCAGGATAAATATATGAACAGGAAAAGTAATTATAAATTGAAATCATAATAAACAAATGCTAGCTACAACTAATACAATGTTTGTTAACAAAAAGATATATTTATTTTGTCCATTATCACATCGAAACACAAGACAAATGTATTCTTAGAGGTGAATTGTGACAAAAACCAGTCATCCCCCCATGACCCCCAAAAATACCCCACCGTGCGTGTAGCGCGTCTCATAATTATAGTCATAATAAAAAATCGTTTCAGATTGAAAATTATTTCTTCAAAAGTATCCTTTGACTGCAACGTTTTACTCTGTTTTTAAAACGAACCAAGATCGTTCGGTTCGTTCACAAACATTAAACATTAACTAACGAATAAATAGATTTTTTATGACTCTTAAAATTTCCTTTTATTTGACAGCAAAATATTAGCTTAAAGATTCGAACCAAAAACTTTCGTTTCGTTAACGAACACATGAATGTTTTAAAACAAACATTTTGTTAACGAACACATGAATGTTTTATTAACGAGCACATGAATGTTTCAAAACAAATGTTTTCTAACCGAACACATAAATATTTAAATCAAATGTTTCGTTAACGAACACATGAATGTTTTAAAAGAAATGTTTCGTTAACTACAGGGATGTTTTAAAACAAAAGTTTTATTAACGAGCACATGAATGTTTAAAAACAAATGTTTTGTTAACGAACACATGAATGCTTTAAAACAAATGTTTTGTTAACGAGCACATGCATGCATTAAAACAAATGTTTTGTTAACGAGCACATGAATGTTTTAAAACAAATGCTTTGTTAACGAACATTGAATGTTATATAAGGAACAAAATATTACCTCTTCCCGTCTATCTGTCTGCTGAACCTGGAAAGCCTGAACCTGGCTGTCATGCTGTAACCTCATCAACAGTCTAAACACAGCTGTTACACTCTGTGTGTCTGTCTGTCTGTAATTGTCT